CTCTGGCTGAAAGGATGAACCTAGCTGGGGACAAACAGAAGTGTGGTAAGAGATTGAATACTTGGTGCCAAAGGTATATGTATTTTCAAACATAGTAGCTGGACATTATAGTGCTGTGACGTCATTTAATTAGAACCAGATAAGATTAGGTAGTAGTGATGGCCAACAGTCATGGCTTGCTAATAAATATAATTTCATGGCATTCTGTAGATATTCCAAAGTGTTAACTATAACAGAAGCAGTTCAGTTCTTTGGAGCAGTAAAATTCTTTGGCTCTGAAAGCATAGCAGGTTTTAATAGGCCTATCACCTAGTAACTGTGGCATTATTAAATATAAGGAGACTAAAAAACATGGTAGAAGCAATGGAAAAGCCTGGCCAGCATGCTTAGTTTGTTTTAGAACTATAGAGAAATCTATTAACTATTGCTGCTATAGACCGATTTGATTAGGAAGTGGGACAAGCTGTTCCTTTCATTACACCAAACCCACACTGCACTTTGTATCAATTATTTGGCTGTCTGCAGCATGTAGATTAGAATAAAGGGCTTTCTCAATGTTTGTGAATTTTGCGGATTGCTGATTAGTAATTAGAGTACTGAATGAAGGAAATTAGGCCAAGATTGAATGGGAATGAGAAGGTCTTAATTCAGTAATACAGATGTTAGAAACAGATTGTCTTGAACAGCTCATTCAGTATAGTGACATTGCACATTTCCATGGTGTTATTTGCTTCCCATGTAAGATTCGAGTCAAATGCCTTGGAGATGGCTTCCTCTTCTATGCCTTGTGATATAACTGTATGGCTATTAATTTAGTGAAATATCCTGTTTGCCAGGTGTGGGAACTAGCTGATTTTATTGTAATACCAGATCATTACTTAATTCATATGCAACCAAGCACAGCACATGGAAAGCATTATAAATCTACTTACAATGTGGCTGGTCTGATGATAACATTGCATTAAATTCCCAGGTGAGGCAATTTAAGCAATTGCTTTGCCATGTGCACGACATGGAAATTAAATTCTCATATACGCTTTAGTAATAAACCAAACTCATTGTTATGTTTTTGCTTGTGGTAGGCCGCAGAACCTCATTCTGCTTGCAGATACAGTGTGTCCCGTGTAGAGTCATATAGAAGGTGGTCAGAGATGACAAGTTTTAATTAATTTAAACTAAGTTAACTCATGTTGTTCCCAGTTTTGCAGTGTGTGCCACAGACACAGTGAGCTCAATTGGGAAATGTCAAAGTCTAAGTCAAGTAGCTAGATTATTTCAGGCCAAATTTCTAGACCAAACTGAAAAAGTGTCTCTGTTTGAATTTGGTTTTAAGAAAACTAGGCAATCAGTACACAAGCATCCTGTTCCTATCAACCAGAATCTCTTTACATGTGCAATTCTTATTTTTATAACTACAGACTCACTTTTGTCGTCCTTTTAGAGCAGTCAGAGAAGCCTGGTCCCTCTAACTGCACAGGAGACACAAATGTGTTGTTAATCTGGTACAGTTTTCTTGTGTCTGTTCTGTAGAGCTTTCCAATGCTATCTAGTTCATCTGAAGTATGAAGTATAAATCACAGAAAGTAAGTTTTACACAACTAAAGTGAGACCTTCTCTTAAACAAGTGTGTGCGCACACATGTGTGTGTTTGAAATATTGTAATGCGAAGCTTTTCACCTTTATGGTATAGGCCAGACATTACAGTAGATTACAGACTGAGCAGACAGGGGACTTCTCCTGCAGCCACACATAAGGACCAGCAGACAGTGGACTTCTCCTGCAGCCACACAGAAAACACTAGCAGACAGTGGTAACTGACAACCAGGACTGAAAATGTTGACAATTTCTTGATTTGCCTGGTTAGCTTATGTGTAGACGTCATTAACTATTTATAAAATGCATTATGAATTGGGTTCCTTCAAGCTGTAGCTGAATGTGTGACATTTCCAGCTCAAATTCTCATGCTTGCATTTGGCTAAAGTACAGATTTTATAGTCTTAATAATAAAGTAAAAATGTTTTAGGTTTATCAGGATACAATAAAGGTTTCAGTTTGTTAATTTAAAATCTTCTAAACTATAGTATTATGTAGGTAATTAGTAATTCAGCATGCGTTTTTAAAATTCCACAAAAGATAACATGATTTATTGATTTTCCTTAAAACAAGCCATTTGTTATTGGAAAGAATTTCATCTTCAAGCAGCACAGGGATGATTTCAAAGAGTGAGTTGTGGTTATGACATACAGTCAGCTTACTTAAAAATTTAAATGCTAACAAATTACAAGAAAATTTTGGGCTTCCAAATATAATTCTTAATAAAGAACAGCCTGAATTTGTTTTATTTTTGGAAAATGAAACTCTAGTGCAGAATAGAATGGCATTGTGCCGTTCTCATGGGGAGTTATTCCTACTTGCAATGAAGTCTTCATTCTTTAAGTCAGTCCTGCCAGGAAACACTTTGTTATGCTCAGCATATCATTTGCTTAATTACAGCCAGAAAAGTCCTTCAAGACCTACCTCTGCTGTCCCAGTGGTGAGGCATGACTTTCCCAGAGACCACCTACAGCTGTGGGTGATCCTCCTCCATGGCTGGGCCACTATTCTCCCCATTGCTGCTGTCAAAGCAACGCCTCCTAACCAGAGCAAGAGTAGATAACCAGGGTTCTACATTTGTAATGTCGTCTTTGTTTGAAGTATGATAAATCTAAATAAGAACATAATGGAATTGCACAATCTCTGCCAATTTGTTGGTATTTTGGTAAAAAGGGGAGAAACAGAAAACAATCTCCATATGATATTTTTGCATCCTGTGGAATGTTTTAGTCCCCCATGGTGATGAAATGAATAATGCAAAAGGCAGCTCTGATACATCAGCCTGTCTTAAAGGTTTTCATTTCCTTTAATGCTGTAAAATGCTTTCGCCTAGCTGGTTTGAGACTGTGATGGTGGGGCCTTCAAGTGGGCAAAGAGGTTTGGCATGATCTAAGTGGGCCGACCTTGTAACTTAGCATTTTAAAATGTTCTGTATGAAGTCAGTAGAAATGGGCAATCCACAGTAGCTTCCACAGGAGAACCAGGTTAAGCATGTGCTCTCTGTGGTGAGAAAATGTCTGGCGGGTTCACAGACAAATAGGTTGGGCCACGCCTGAACTTTGAAGAGATTGTATATTTATGTCCTTACTGAGCACACACCAAGGCCTTCTGTCTCTGATTTGTTCTTCTTCCTGCAATGCAACTATAGTCTTATTTATCTACTCACAAAGACCTATTGCAGCTGCTAAATTTTAAGACAGATGTTTGTGGCAGAAAAGCCCTGTTGAAGAGGGAGACTCTGGGCAGGCAGGGGTGGGCACATCTGTCTCCTTTATCCCTAAGTGTTCTCTAGCTCTGTGTTGTTTGCCTGAGTCTCTCCAGAACTGGTTTACAAAGCTGAGCATCATGACCCTAAGATTCTAGGCACAGTGGAAGGAGAGTTACCTTTAGAATTCCACGATACTGCATTGTTTTCCTCAAACAAGTATCTGGGTGGGGTGTGTGTTTATTTATATTCCAGTAAGTGTTTTAAAACTGGATTCTGCTAGATCCAGCATATCATTTGCTTAATTACATCCAGAAAAGCAATAAACGGAATTATATGCAATAAACCAAATTCTCTGTTATGTGCCACACTTGGGAGAATTGAGAAAATAGTAAAGAAAGAATATTTTCTGTGTCTTGTGCTCCAGAGAAGGCACCCACTTGAGAAAGACTAGCCTTTTTAAATGATCTTAAACTCAGTGGTTGTTCTTGTCTGAGGTTCCTTTAAATAATACGATTTTAAGGTATAATGAGCCGATTGAGACCAAGCAGTTTTACTCATTGACTACTATAAAATTAGAATTGTAATCTTCCAGTTGCCTTTTGCTTATGGATTACAAGTAGTTCTTTGAAACTGTAGCACTTTTTTTCAGACCATAGATAAACAAATAAGAACTTTAAGTCCTAGATCGTTGGAGTCCAGGAAAGACATGACAGCTTCCCACCCTCCCTTTTCTAACTGACCGTTTTTACTTAATTAGTTGAGAAGCAGAGTAAGCAGCGAATGACTTTTGATCATGGTGAAGATGAAGTAGGGACTGATAACCAGACTCAAGTTTCACAACTGATTTTTGGAGCATCCCCCGCAAATGAGTGTATTTAGACAGGCATGAATGTCTTGGAACCATGTCCCTCTGACTGCAGTGTGCTCAGTGTACCATGCAGGTGAGGGGTGGGTGGGCCTCGCACAGCACAGTCTCACTGGAGATAGTGACTCACAGCCTTTAGTTCCGGAAATTGGGAAATTTCTTTGCTTTACCAGTATCTGTCTGTCTGCTCCCTCCCCACTTTCTCTCCCTTCCTTCACCAGCATTGCTTTTCCTTAGGCTATTCCTTAGAGAGGAGTTGGAGACATTTGAATTACTGCTAGCTAGGGAATGGCTTTACAATCCCTTCTCTTCCTGGGTAGTGACATCACAGTGATGAAATGTAGATGTGCTTGTCCAGACAGCCCAGTGTACAGTTGGTGACAGGAATATTATCCTAGAAGTAGAGACTTTCTGAGATTGCTCGGGATTGTGCAGTGCATTTCCTCCTGAGACTCCCATTTACTCCTGTAGTAATTACAATCTGTGAGTTTTAAAACTATACAGCTATATAACTGTATTTCTTCCAGTTTAGTGGTTTTATTCAAACAACATGCCGAAGAATAAATTAATTCTTATCTACTTATGAAAAAATAATAGAACATTAACACAAAGCAGAAATTCCTCTCGTTATTGGTATTTCTTTCTAAAACAAACGTGTAGCTTCCATTAAACTCCTGTGTTGGGGAACTCTGAGCTCGTTGTGCAGCTCTACCGGTAGGCTTCCATTAGAGGGCTCCCCAGGGTCTGCGATGGCCGCCTTGATACCAGGAATGCTTGGCCGTGTTTACTTTCTAATGCTCACCTCGCTCTTTCCCTTTTTGTTTTGTTTTATAGAAAAGGTCACGGATCGCCTACAGTGACGAAGTACGGAATGAGCTCCTAGGGGATGATGGGAATTCCTCAGAGAACCAGGTAGAATGCTAATGAGGAAGGCCCGGTGGGTGGCTGGAGGGTGAAGGAGGTCACGGGCTCACTGGGCTCTCAAGCTGCTCCCTAACAGTGTTAGCAGCAACTCATGTGGAAACGATACTGTTTAATGCAAAGCTGGAGTCTTAATCAACTTCAAAATGTTTCTCGGAGATCTTACATTTAACCCTTTACCTCATGATCACTGTCTGCCATCTTTTAAAAAACCTCTTTTCTTCTCTTTTCTTTATTATTTAGTACTTAAGGAATAACTTGAAACACGCTGTTTGCAGACAAAGCCAAGGTCTTCACCTCAAACACATGTAAGAGGAATAAAAAAGTACATAATGCAGCTTTGATAGGAATGCAGCACAATTAAGTCAACACTCGCAGCCAAACAAATGAAAGTAAGCTTTCAAAATCCAGCCTCACAGCCCTGGCTCCTATTGTGTGACTTCTTAAAAATACATTCACCAGATGCAAATGCCCAGCGCCAGTGTGGGACTGTGTGCATGCCCAGGCAGAGGCCTGCCCTGCTTCTGTGCTGACAGTAGTGACAATAGCAATAGGATAAACCCTGCGTGCACCTTAGGATCTGCATACAGAAAAAACATACACGATACAGTTTCTTCGTAAAAGGTTCTTACAGCTTGTCCACCATTCCTCATTGGATGACGGCGCAGTCATGTCATGAGTCTAATTAGCCCCTGCTACTTTCTTTGAATTAATGCTGCAGACACTGTAAGTTCACATAGGTATGGTATGTGCAACTCTTTAAAAGCGTGTCTCAAGATGCTTGGTGGAGAGCTGACTTTGGAAAGTCTCTCTCAGCCCTGGGGACTGCTGGGTAGCAGGGAGCACCATAGGTAAGACCTTCTTTCAAGGGTTACTTCTCTGCTCCCATGAATGAAGCACTCCCTGGCTAAAACACAGCTGTGACTGAGAGGAAGATGCAGCCCATCCATCCAACATGCTAGAGTTTGCAGCACGCACCTCCCACTTTCAGGGTTTATATTTACTGATACTAAATTATGCAGCACAGAATGTGAGCACTGTAACCTGGGCGGAGGCTGGTGTGACAAAGGCACCCGTCCTCCTACCCGAAAAGTGGGAGAAGAATCACTGAGCAGGCCATTTGTTTGGCTTGCCTCCTCCTCGTTGTGGATGGTATCAGCCTGAGTTCAGATACCACTCAGCTTTGACCTGCAGTGTCAACTTCCCTGACTGAAATGTGAGAACAGCTAACAGGGCTGGTGCAGAACAGAAGTGAGCGGTAATGTTGGGAGGGGGTTTACTCAGAAGAGATTAAAAAATGGGAGAATGAGAGGAAAATATTTCTGCCTTTTTAAAGTGGGGTTTGGATTATGCATGCCTCTTGAAATGAATCACAATTTTCTTCTTTAACTACTGTAAAAAAGAAAAAGCGTTATCTTCTTTGCAAAAGAAAAAATACAAAAAACAAAAAAAGTGTCCATACAGCTTCCCTGTCAGTTCTTTTGGAAGCTGCAGACTTCGCCCGCCTCGTCTGAGCAGCTGCTGGCGGAGAATGGACAGAAGGGAGGGGCTCCTGCCTAACCCAGGCTGCGTGTTATGATGATGCTGTAGTTCTCTAACAGATCCTTTTTACACCTTGTTCACTTTTCTTAAGGGACATTTAATGCACCTAAAATATTAGTCTTACATACATATAAGTATGATTTTTAAGCCTAAAGAAAAATATTCCACAAAAATAGATTTTAGCTCATAATTTTTGAATTTTTCAAGTTATATTTCTGTCACTTTAAAGTGGTTATGCAAAGATTTCCCCTAGACTTATCTGAGTGAAACTCACAAGTTCTGAAAGTGCTGGACCTGAAGGTGATAAGGAGCTGCCAAGTCCAGGAAATACGGCACGGCGGATTGCTGTCGTGAGGGTATGGAGATGGTCGGCTACGGCTCCCATGGACTTTTCAGCCTCACATTTGAATGAGCTGTGAACGTTCACAGAGATCATGCCAAGCTTTTCGAATAATTTGTTACCTTGCAGAGCAGAATCTCCGTGCTACGATGAAGTCATTAAGTCCTATGTTGAGGCTCTTTGTCATAATATAGGAATTTAAATGAGCACACCCTTAGCCACGGCTTCAGACGTCACTTGAAAATAACTTTTATTCTCTACCAGTGTTGCCCTGGCTCAGCAGTCAAAGCAGAGTGTCTCTCCAGAAAAGGTCTTAATGGGCTCTTCGTATACATTTGTATAGAGCAGAAGCTAAGAAGTGGGTGTTGTGGTTAGAAGGACTACCCACAATCTATGTAAGAAACTCTTCTACCCAGAAAGAAGTTTGTGTTCATGCTGATTGTTGAAGCACTGGCTTTCAGGCCTTTTTGTCATATATCTAAGATACGCTTTTAATATACACATAAAGTGTGAGTGTAAACAAAATTAGTCATAGTCACTTAAATTAGCATACATCTGTCAACTAAAAATCTAGAGTGATTGAAAGGGGAAAAAGAAAATAACAGCCAGTAGCTGTGACTGCAAGCGTGTAAAGTGCTGGCTTCATTCCTAGTGCCTTGTGCACAGCTCCTTACGGCTCCTTGTGACACTTTGGACAGGCACGGACACAGTAGCAATCAGCTCCTTCTGTGTGGCGTGGGGCCAGTCCTGGTAGCCATCCACAGCCGGCTGTTGATGCATGTAGCTATGGTCTCCTAGCTGATTATCAGTGACAGTGATTTACTTTGGGGTGTATTTATATGTCTGCCATGATTGGGAATGCCACTGTTTGTACAGTTAAGGATTTTTCAAGAGTATCTTTAATGTCCTTAGTACAATATACATTTAATTGCATTCCATATCAACTCCTGCACAATTTCTGACTCATATCTGTTTCATTTGATTAAATATATCTCATCCTGGATTTACCAAAGGGGGGGAGGGGTGGTGTCAAAATCTGCTCTGCACCTGTAAGTGCTGAGGATCTGGTCCCTGTCTTCCCAAGAGTGAGTGTCCCGAGCATTCTTGTCTGTCCTCCAGTGTACAGTGTGATTTCTCCAAGAGTTGAGCTACTGGATGCAGTGCCGCAGCATTTACCCGGAGTAGAAAGCTTAACAGTTCTTAACTTGATTTCCTTTCATGAGAACCATTCTCAAACAAAAAACAGATTATAGAATAAAGCCATAGACTTTCAGAGTAGGGTGTGGCAATGGCAAAACCAAAATGCTCAGAGCTCTTGTTTGAACATTAGTAGACTCTCTGTTGCCATATGCAAAATTATATTGATCCAGTGCCTGAGAAAAATCCTACAAAGAAGATTTTTTTTAACTGTATAAAGGGTGGAATAGTTTCCAACATATGAAGTTTTTGTGGTAAAGCAATATTTAACAGATAATGATTGCTTAATTTTTTAATACAAGGTTCTCTTAAGTTCCGATTTGGGCTTGCTGTGCGTAAAGTGTGTCAAACTTCAGCTACAGACCAGGGGGTGAAGTCGGTCAATTTAATTCCGCAAGATCTGAAGAAGGTCGGTATCATTTCATATAGCCCCGGCAGAGCAGATCATTACCAGGCACAAATCTGCTCGTTCGTGCTGGGGGTTTCTAGCAAAATAAATAGACTGTCATCATAAGTTCAGAAAATTGTGTGTTCGACCCACGATAATGTGTAAAGGGCGTTTAATAGAGTTCAGCATTTATTCGTTATCTGTATGCGGACAGAGACGGCAGTGGCGTTATCAGCTTAAAAAAAAAATTCGGGAGTTCTGGAAGTCATGTGATGTGCCTCACACACCCGCACAGAAGTGCGCGCATGCGCACACATCCACCCTTGCATGCGCCACAGTGCAGTTTTGATTTTAGTCACAGCAGAAGGCTTAACCACAAGAGATTCCACTGGTTCAAACCAGCGTAAACTAGATTTTTTTTTTCAGCCCACAAAGGAACAGATTACCTCTTGTATCAAATTCTGCATTCCGGGTGGGGTTGTGGGGAGAAATCTTTGTTTCAAAAAAAGAGATGTGGATTACCATAAGCCAACATGATGGTTTTGCACACTTTCATGGCATGTATGATGGAGCCAGTAACTCGAAGAGTGTCCAAATCACTACCTCTAGTGGAGTCTAAGCCTTGTTAATTTTCAAAAAGCGACCATCTTTGTTTATTTCAATGCATAACTCTCAGCCTAACCAAAAAAAAAAAAAAAAAAAAAAAAAAAAGAAAAGGAAAGGGGAGAAAGATGAAGATTAGTAACGTCCCTTAGCTTAGCTACAAATCCGGTGTGGAGTTTGAATGCAGCCATGCAGCACAAACAAGATTTTTTTTTTTGTTCGAAACCCATTGAAAACGCAAATGGGCAGCATTTTTAAACACCCTTGCTTATGGCAGGGTGGCATGCCCCAATGGACTCCATTGCTGGAGAGGGGTTTTAAACTTTGGCCCTTTAAGTATCATAGCCAACTGAAGAATAGTGCCCCAGAAGGAAAGAGCTGTGCAGCCAGTTCCCACATCGCCTGCCTCTGAGGTTTAGTGTTTGTGGGTTTTCTGTTGTGATGTTCAGATGGCAAAGGGAAAACTGCGATGTGTGATAGGCCAGGTATCCTAGTTTAGGTTTTCACTTCATCTGGAGAACAGATCTGTTGCTTTTCCATGTGGAAAAATGAGACGCTACCCAGGATGGCTGTGGGGAAAGGAATGAGTGTATTTAAAAACAATAACTTTTGTCTGCTGTGAACTAGGACTTTTAAAGTTTGACATTTAAAATTTTGCTAAATGTAGATTGAGATGCCATACAATTAATTCTAAACCCTTTCTATAAAGGGTTTTTGACAATTTGAATCTCCTCCTTGTAGATTTTAAGTACTTTCCAGGAAAAAATGAAATAACAGAATGAGCTTAAATGCATCCCTGCCCGCCTTGAATTTGACACTAAGTCAGCATTAAGTGTTGAGAATTCATGGCTGTGGTAAACTAAACATCATACTTTTAGAGAGAATTACACTGAACCATTCTTAGCACATTGGCTTGCGTGTGTCATGTGTGGTAACCGATGTTACAGATGCTTGGATGTTCAAAGATGACCAGTTGTAGTCCTGAATGGTTGCAGATGCAAGGCTCAGACCTAGAATGTGACTCAGTCTGTTGTGGCCCGGGCTCCTATTGTGTTCATTGTAGAAACAGTGGTAGTAATTTTACCAGTGCAGTGATGTTTGTGTTTTAGAATGATGTCAAACATACCCAGAATGGGGCAGATGTATGATTTCATAGATTCTTGGTTTCTAGGAGCTTTCTACATCTGTTACTGTTGGGAACATGAGCAAAAGTAGGGGATTAAAATGCCGCAGTAGGAGAACTGACTAACAAATAAAGGAGTGGCTTTTGATTGACTTTAGTGAAAACGAACCACAGTACAAACACAGGAAACGGGTTCCTTGTTTTGATATGTCCCAGTGTGGAAGATTAAGATTACTAGAAAATAAACAAAAAGTCAAATAAAAACACACCCAGTAAGTGCTCTACTATTTAAGAAAAAACGCAAATCTTGACATTAACTCCTCTGATAGCTACTTTTTACTTGCTTTTGTTGATTCTCAGCTGAAATAGTGTAAACCCAATGCAGCCTATCGTTACAATGGGTGCAAGGATGGCATTAAACCAGAAAGTAATAGTAGGTTATCTTTGTTGTTGTTTTAAATACTTAACGGAGTCAAAGCATGAACTACTGGTCATTTTCATTTGTTGGTAAAATCTGAAGTCAGTTGTCAAGTCTCCAAATAGAGAGACATCCTGAAATCTTGTATGTACACAGCCTCTCTAATGGTGCATTCTTAGAAGAGAGACGCGGTAAACTTGTTTTCTTTTTTATAATATAGACTTCTATGAAGTCGCTCCCCCTTTATTTCATGATGGTTCTTAGATGTACTTTAAAAGAGAAATTCACACTAGTCTCTTTGTTTAATGTGACAGTGTGAGAAAGTGATCTTTATTTGTTCAAACCCTCTGCATGTAGTCTGTGCTTAGGCTCCTTTAATGTGTGTGTCTGTGATTTCTAAATGCTAAACATGTAAACAGATGAATTGTCAATGTTAATTCTGTATCCTGTCACACAGCTGATCCTTCTTTCTGCCGTGTCTTCCCTTTTTATCTTTTTTTGGTGCATTCATGTTGCAGTTGATAAAATTACGTGAAGAGGTAAGTATTTTCCAGTTCCTTTTTTTTCTCCTTAGTTCTGCTTTTTCTTATAAAATTTATTTTTTAAATCCGAAGTGTATCTTGTATTCATTTTTCCAGGGAAGTGTTCACTTGACAAAACTATTGACCTGACGACCTGAGAAATCTTCTCTGCCCATCTCCTCAGAGCAGCTGTGCTCCGTGCTTGTTGCAAGCCCCTCACTCGTCTTTGCTGACATTGAGAGAAAGTTAATATTTTAAAGTCAAAAAACAAAAAGGGAGGGATAATAGAGGTGCATCTTAAATGTAGAGTGTCATTGTTTGTGGGTGTTTCAGATTTGTTTATTTGTGTTAGTTTCTCAGTGAAGTTATTATGACTTTATTTTCTTTTCTGATCCTGGTTTACTTTACTGAGACACCACCCACCCATGGACTCAGGGTCCCACATAAGGCACCGTGGGAACTTGTGCACTGTAAGTGCCCTTGCCCTTGTCCAGGACACCTGGGGCAGCAATCTTGCTCCACTGTTAAGCACTTTCCTTTCTGTAGGAAACAGTCCCCAGAGGAGTTCTCCTTTTCCTGCCTGCTGCTCCAGCCTCTTCAGGGGCCTCATAAGTCTCTGCAGCAGTGCCTGTCACCGTGGCCAAATGATTCAGGGCATTACTGTTGTCTTCCACTAAGGCCAATCCACCAAGGCTTCGATTCAACTTTTTGGAGACAATCACTTTTTATTTAGTAATGCTGAGTTTTGTTTTCCCGCAAGGACATAGAATAGTCCTCTTGCTCCCAGCAGTCATAGTAGTTTGGTCGAGCACATTGAGTGCAGCTTTTCCTGAGTGGTTCTGATGGGGAGCTGCTCTTCTGTGGGTGCTGGAGATGTTTCCTAAGCTTGTGAGCAGTGGTTGATTGAAATGCGTGAGTGAGCTCCTAGCTTAGCCAAAGTGACAATGGCATGGGAGCTGAAGGGAGAAAGTATACCAATAGCCTCTTATACTTTGGGTTTGCTTTTTCCTTTCCAACATGGAAGTATGTGTATATATGTATATACTAAATCAGTATAATTAGTTCCACTATTGATTACTCTCTGAATGCGTGATGACATAGACATGATTTCCCTGGGACGTGGGTGGTTTCGTGTGTTTAGAGATCTTTACCCTTTGCTGAGGGATCTGAATGTTCAAAGGTTGATGAAAACAATGATTTGAATTCACGTATACACACACACACACACACACACACACACACCAATGCCAAGAAACTCCACAAAGCTCTTGTCCCTGAATCGACAGTGATCTGATGGCTAAAATTCCTGTGCTTTACAATAACAAGTATAATTTTGGCCAGATTTTTGTTACGCTGTAGTGCAGGATCAGAGGAATTCTTAATTTTGAAAGCTGAAAATTATGTCTCCATCTCTTTTGTAATATATTATTGCTTGATAATTTCTCTTGTTTTTCTCTGTCAACAGTTGTGTATGTGTTAGTACCATGGTTGATGTTTCTGAAGGTGTTCTGTGATAGAACTATTGTCAGTAGAGTGAGATCATCCAGGCGATGGAATGACAATCTGAGGAACAGTGTTGTCTGTGTCTTTGATTTGGGTGCAGCACAAACACTTATGGATTAGGTGATGCTGAGCTTAAATGGAGATTGCTCAGAGGGGCTCTTCTCCCAGTCAGGATTTGCTTGTGCTCCTGCAGTGAATGTTAGCCCAATTTTTCACTTGCACCTTTTCTAAGAAGACAAGCACCTGTCTGTTCCAAACCACAGTGTTTTGTTGTGTTTGGGAGCACAAAGTTCCCATCCTTCTTCGTGATGCTCTTTTCAGGGTATGCTGAGTCTTTTCAGGGTATGCTGGGAGGCAGGGTCTTAGCGGAGAGGGAGCTGATCTGGCGTTGGCTGTGTACACCGAACTGCTGGAATGCTGCGTCCCCAGTATTTCCCCTTTCACAGCGCCTCACACAAACTGAGCTCCTTCTGAAGGCTCCTGCACAGCTTCCCTCACCTGCTCTGGGAAGGGCCAAGAGGAGGGTGAGAGCAGGAGTTTGGGATAGAGAGTGGGGGCACACGACAGCCTCTGTGCCACTGTACTGTGTCTCCTCATTTACACCACTGGGGCATTGCACAGCTGAGGGGATGATGTAAATGGTGCAGCTGTTAAAAGAATTTGATTTTAGTTTGACTTTAGTGAAGAAGTTACAAGAAATGAAGGGAAACCCTGCTGGGAAGCTGCCCATGAACCGATCATCCTCTCTGGGGGCGGGGGGAAAAACTCTCCAAAAGAATACATCGCTTCCATTACTTCAGTGCATGTGCAGTGTTTAGTGTTCATTTGGACGTTCTGCTTTCCATGTAGCTCTGGAGCCTCCCGAATTGTCCCACGTTTAAACACTTTATTCCACACATGTTTAGCTTTTGTTCATTCATCATATATAAGCATTGAGGAAGAGCCAACTCCAGTATGGTCTATGTTTTTTTTTTTATCTCTATTAAGCTAAATGTCTTCTTTGCATTTTGGATTTAGTACAATATGAAAATAAGCCCCAAATTGTCTTCCTCTGGACTAAAATTCAAAGTTACTCTTGCTTCTCAGATCAGATTGATTTTTTTTTTTTTTTTTAGAGGATCACCAGTTTGAAGTCCTTTGTTTGGGTAGAAAACAGTATGCAGTAGGGAAAAGCAGTTTTTGCTGCCAGAACCTGTGTATAAGGAGAATCAGAATTAAAGACACATTTTTGGCACGTTTAGTAATAGAAAGTTTTATTTAGAAATAGTCGTGCCAAGCACAGAGAGCCCCTGTGCTCTTCCTCTTCTCGGTTGCAGCCTTCAACAGTTTTGCTTTTTGTGATATAAGGAGCTCTTTTCTCCCTTCCTCCATTTTATTTATTTCGTTTATTTTCCAAAAGGAGGGGCAGCATTTCTCTTAATTTCTGCACTGTGTATCAGACAACTCTATTAATTATTATAGACTGCTCTTGCCGCTTCCTGACCTTCACATCAGGTCCTGTCTGTCTGTTCTAAAAGCATTGTTTTAATGATTCTTTCCCCCAACCCTTCCCCCCAAAAAAATTTCAAGGAAAGCTTTGATGTGGCTTTAGCTGCCTCTAACGTCTGGCCGCATCTCAGATGTGTCACCTATGCCGGGAGGGAATAAGGAAATCACGTTTTGAATGGTAATGATAACATACTAATCACTTCCTTTCTTTGAAGATGGAAGCGAGAGATTCTGTCAGCATCCCTGGCTGCTAGAGCTTGCAGGCACTGGTCTAGGTGTATTAGCTTAAGTGTGCATGTCAATAAAGCTTGCATCTCCAAGATCCATGGGGGCTCATTAGAGCAAGGTAGATCATTTCACTCGACAGCCACTCAGATAATGCATGTGGCACCTCCTTTTTTATTATTATCAGAAAGCATTGCTTCAATTTTAAGTGACATCTGTCAGCAACACAAAGTTGTATAGTATGGTTGCATGTTTTTCTTTTTCTTTGACCAGACACCAAAATTGATTATAGGGCAAGAGAAACTAATTTATACAAATACATATATACATACATACATGTATATGTGTGTGTACATATATATATATAAAAACTGCCTACAACCAAATATGCAGGCACGCATAATCATACATTTCTAGGTATCTAAACATATGTACATGTATACTACATGCATATACCAATTCATTCATAGACATGTCTAGCCTGTGAATCTGTTTTGGTACCATGAACATATCTACTGTGGGATCAAAAACATAAGGTCTCAATGTAGAAAGGAAAGTTTAGAATATTGGAGTTCTCTAATTTGCTCATAAGATGTAATATGAAAAAGTTGTGTATAATTTTATTCCATAGAGTAGATTGTGGTTTTAGTGCACCGTCCAAAGCACTACGTGCTAGCAGTCGACTTTAACTTAGTGTCTTGTGTTTGGGGATAACACACAGATCCCGTGTGTTCCCTTTGAGCTGGAGGTGCTGGTTAGCATTCTGTCCCAGTAGCTTCCTTGTTCTGTGTGCCATCTTCTACATTTCCATTCTCTTAAAAATAAAAAAGTTCTTGTTTAAAAAATTATGATTTGCAGAAATCAAAGGATCAGTGAGCGCTAGAAGTGACTGCATTTTATAAAACTAAACACAAATAGGAATCAGCACTGTGTCTCATCTGTGTTAAAACAGGAAAGATCCAGTTGGCCCTGCTCTTCACGCGCTTCTCAGTGGTGTGGAGGAAGATTTGCTGTGTCCACTCACAACAGGCGCTCCTTTAAAAACAAAAACAAATAAGTGGATGGTCCATGCATGTTGGTTAGAAATCTCTCCATTGTTGTCGATCCTCTGAAGTGTCTGCTAAAATTTAACTATAATGGATTGTGGACACCCCCCCACCCCATGTTAGGACATACAAAGGCATTATTTTTTAAAAAGGCAAAAAAGAACCTTGTAGCCATCCGTCTGACTCCCCCTTTCTTTCAGAGGGCACATCTGCTGGATAACACGGAGAGGCTGGAAAGGTCATCGCGGAGACTAGAGGCTGGATACCAGATAGCAGTGGAGACCGGTAAGAATTCTGAAAGTGAGCAAATTGTCTTGCTTATGCACAGCGGTCTTCACAACACATGACATTTCAGCGAGACTTCAAAGGAGCAGCAGAGACAGCAGCCCGAGATGTGGTTTACATATTGGGGAGACAATTGGGAGCTTATTTGCGCTTATCTTTTTTCAAGTTAAAAGGCATGACATCTACCGAAAACCTTCCTGAGGTTTGAAAGTCTACATCTGAAAGCAGACGGGATACTTTGTCTAAATTCTACATTTGTCTTAATGTGCAGTTACACGTTGTCAGTTTACCCACCCGCAATGATGGCGCGCGCACTGCGAAGCCTTGCCTGTTTGCAACTTGGGTTTTAGTCACACATGTAAAAATTAACGTTTTAATCAGTCTAAATGATAGGAACTAGGAACAAAGACTAATGATACCTGCTTGCTTGTTTTACTCTGTGTGGGAAGTGGCTTTCTTCAATGACTCTGTTTTATAAAAGCCACAAACAGGACCTCTAACAAGGTGTGAAAAATATCTAAAGAACAACAAAGCTAATATTCACAATGATCTTATTACCATTGATTTATACTGTTCAAATTTTGGTTTGACTTGGCAGTAGTCATATTTCAAAGAAAACCGTCCTAATTTTTCTAAGGCTATTTTCAAAATAGGTCTTTTCTGTGCGAATATTTCATGTAGTGAGTGTTTTTTAAACAGCAAGCATTATCAATACCTTGGTACTTACTAGTTTCTTAATATTTTAGCCACACTTTTTGTTTTCTAATCTATAAATTATAAATAATGTATTTTTTACAGTTTGAACTGTTCTTGCACAACCTATAAACAACAAAAATGTGTGATTAACAGAATTTTCCTGAAAAAATTAATTTAGTGTTACCAAAATACCAATTTTTTGAAGAGTAGGTATAAAGAAAGTGTTCTAAGTATCTCTTTTATGAATAGCCAGTGTGCTTACCCTGGCTTTGTGGTGGCTATCCTCGATTGGTTTATGTGCTGCATTCTAAAGAAGCAAATAAGGAGACTGTACGTTTATTAATGATGAGGAAGCAGAAGAAAACCATTCAACTCCCAACTTTTAACAATGTGGGTTACTGCTTTCCTCGGGTTACTGTCAGGTGACTCTCTGCCCTGATGGCTCCCTTGGTTTGAGGTTCACCCTCAGAGCAGACTCTTGGGAGGAATATGAAGAGTGGAAGGGGCCACGTTCCAATCTTACTCCTGTTTCTATGACTCTGAATGAATTATCTCATTTCCCCAAACCTGTTCATTCTTCAATAAAAGTAAATTGCACATCTGAAAATTTTTCACTTAGTAACATGTATTACTTTAGAGTATTTGTTGTGCTATTAAATACATATATAAATGCATAGATTAAGTGTGGCCATTTGGTGATACAGAATTATGGAAAACATTTTTGTTTGTGAAAATTTGTATATGTTAGAGGAATAGAAGAGGGTGTGCCATTCTTGGAAACTGTGGCACTGTCTCTATTGGACTTTACATTCATTAGAGAAGGGTCTTCCTTGCCAAGCATTCATTGATGAGCTCTGTGGATTTCTCTTGGGCTTAAGCATGCAGATTGTCTTGCAGTATCAATGATCTCAGGGTCTTGGATGACTGGGCCCTCTGTGGATTTTTCAGCCTCTCACATTACTGTCCATGTGGCTCTTTCCCAAAACTTAAAGGTCATCAAAGAGGGTGGCCCATAGAAGGCCATGCATTGATTATGATTGTAAGACAGTATGGGAGTTGATAGTTACTTCTTTTGATGTACAAGAAGTATAGTGTTGAGAATACAATAGTAGGCTATAAAATTACATGTGTATAGCTCACATAAAGCTTGGAAACTTGGGGAATTCTATAGGATTAAGTCTGGGGGGAGAAATATAAATAAAAATTGGGACAGATGCACCCCAGCCTGTGCTTGGACAAGCATCAACTCCCTAGTTTGTTTACTTGAATAAGTTTGAAAGTGCAGTGGGAAGGAGAAGTAACTTCCAGTCTTTACAGTGCACTGCGATAGGTACTACTTGCATGTTTCCTGAGTCCCTGCCAGCCTCACTGTGGTAATGCCAATAGCTCTGTGCCTTGACCGTATGTAAGTTCTTAGTAGTCATCATTTCACTTAGGCAATAGTGAGCAGCACTTCTATAGGCAATAGAAGAGCAGCACTTGAGAAGGAATAGAACAGTTTATTTTTTTTAATAAAAAAGGTCTCATATAGCTTAGACTGGCCTAAAACTCACTGTACAGCTAAAAATAGCCTTGAACTTACAGGCCTTCCTGCCTCCACTTCTCAAGAGTTGGGGTTCTAGGTGCATCTCACCAAACCTGGTTTATACGGTACTTGAGATTGAAACCAAAGCATTGTGCATACTACACAAACAGTCTTACCAACTCAAGCTGTCACGAATGGCAGGCAGATACTCCACCACTGAGCTAGTTCCCTCCCTAAAACTTAACACTCGGTTCCAAAGTGATGAGATGCAAGAAGACATGGACAAGGCGCTTCCAGAGGATCTGGATTCCTTTCCTAGCACCCGCGTGGTAGCCTACAGCCATCTGCAGCTCTGGTTCCAGGAAATTCAGTGCCCTCTCCTGGCTTTCAGAGACACCAGCATGCATTCAGTGCACAGACATACATGCAGGGAAAACGTCAAACTGTTTGACTGTTAAAGTCGCACCTAGGAGGGCGTGCTTTCCAAGAACTGCTGCAGCCTGGAGCTGGCGCCATACTCAGAGGGTTTAAAAAAAAAATGAGATCATAAGTAGAATATAATGGCTTGCCATAATCATATTTTATTTAAGAAGCTAAATTTAAGAATGACATTTTGTCTAAAATTATAGTTCTGCATTATGAAGTTGAGCAAATAAGGACAGTGTAATGATGTAGTCTAGGAGGTAGAAGTTTTGATGTATTTCTTTACTTGAAAAATGCTAAATGTGGCAACCCTCTTTGGGGCGTTCTGAAATATTTTTCATTGTTTTTATTTTATGTGTTTGACGTTTCCCTGCATATTTTCCTATTACATAAGATGTTAAGAGATAAAATAAGATCCTCTTTATTTAAGTGCATAGAAACAAGAGAACGCTATAAAATTTATCATTAATAGATGGCTATCAGTTAAAAAAATCGTTAACTTTCAAGATAATTGGCAAAAGTTTTAAAAGAAATTTGTAACTTTTCTGTTCATGAACTTGATAGGATCCTCAAGAGAATAACACCTAGGATGGAATGGGCTAGATTAGGGTGTGTGTTACCTTAATCACTGGTGGCTTCCTAACAAATTACAAAATTCATCTTTGGAAATTCTTTTATCACTGTTGACATTTTAAAGTTATCTCCTGAAATGGGCAGATATTGTGTCTTCTAAGCAGTCCCCAAGCAGAGAGTGTGTATCCATAGTATGTGATTATTTTAAGGATTGTTTACACCCCATAAGCATTGACTTTAATACCCATCATTCTGCTTCCCTGGATAAAGTGGTTGCCTTGAAAAGGACCTAAATTCAAAACCTTCAATCTGTGTTTGAAAATAAAACAAAAACGGGCAAGGTGGCACATACTTTTAATCCGAGTATTGGAGTGATGGAGAGAGGTGGATCCATGGGGCTTGCTGGTCTGGCATCAAGGAAGACAATTAGCAGACATGTTCATAAACTTCTCTGGAAGTTGTCCTCATGGACTAGATAAGGTTCTGGTTGCACGAAGCATTGGGTTGATCCAGTTTGGTGTGACTTCTGAGTTCTCAGCCAGAACCTTTTAGGTGAAAAATGGCTTTCCCTGTCTCCAGTTACTAACAGGTGTGATTTCCAGCTGTGGTGATGTCCATTTCTTCGTGCTCAGTACTTCAATGCTGGGTCATCTGCCCTTTCCTCTGGAGTTGTAATTCTCCTCCCCCCTGACCACAGTCAGCACGAAGCTGTCAGAAGCCGTGGGATCAGTGACAGAGATACAGGCCTATGTAAACAGGTCCTTTAAGGACCGGTGACTGTTCCATCCTGATTTCTGCATGGGCACAGGCCACCTTCAGAGCATCCTGAAGCTGTAAGTTTTGGGTGTTCAATGGCTTATTTCTGAGATTATAATGAAATCTATTTGCTGACTTTGCTTTCATCCCCCCTTGGATTCCCAGATCCCGTGTGTTGACACTCTCTGTAGTGGCCGAGACTGCCTACTGGTGTATTGGCCTCTCCTTCGCTCTCGTCTTGTCACTTGATGGCAGCTGAGAAGGGGTAGCTACTGGCCTCTTGACAAGGATGTACGTCTGCCAGCCTTTGCCTTCTGTGGGCGAGGGTCAAAGCATATGGGAGGGACACAATGCCTGATAAACATGTCACATGGGCCTTGTGACACCCCGTTATTCTATAGCCACTGTTTCTTTGTCCCCACTCACTCCTTTTTGTAGAAGAGAAAAGAAGTTACAGAGAGGTGGCTCGTTTTCCACAGCTGTGAAGCTGGGCACAGTGACCAGGTCATTTTTTCCCACAGTCAGGTATGGATGGTTTCATATGCTTAGATTTTCCAAAGTGATTTGCTGTAGTCAAAATACATCGTTGTTCTCACATCTGTCAATTTTCTCTTATTATAACTTATTTTAATAATATCAATTGAAATTGTGTGCCACATATTAAAGATACAGTAGTGAAAGGTACTCATTCTTAGATAGTTTATAAATAAGGGGGAGGTCAAGTAAAACAAAACATCTTAAAAATGAATAAATAAGTGGAATAGTAGTCAGATGAGGTAAGCTATGAAGGCTAACTGGCACAAGCTAAGTGACCAAGAGTGCAGACTCTCTGATGAAGACCGTTGGTGTCGCGAGCAGAGCGTGCCTTCCAGAAAGGCAGCCTTGTCTGTATGCTGACTGTTAAATCGCATATGATGCCGTGGGTAAGACAGTCTGGGGCAGATGGCTGGAGGAGCAAGGGACAGTGATCACAGGGACTTAACTGTGCTGTTGGGGGTAAGCAGAGACACAGCCCATGGCCCAGTAG